CGGTGTCTGAGAGTCCGTGGCCGTACCCGGATGCGCCCTGGGACCGCCTGCACATGGACTATGCGGGGCCAGTCCATGGGATGATGATCCTGGTCATCGTGGACGCTCACTCGAAGTGGATCTCAGCGTACCTGACACCGTCGGCTACAGCAGAAGCGACCATTGAGCGGTTGCGGATGGCGTTTGCGGAGCACGGTGTCCCTCGCGTGGTGGTGAGCGATAACGCGGCGGTGTTCACGGGAGAGGCTTTGCGTCATTTTCTAGCGCGTAATGGAGTGCAGCAGGTGTTCTCCCCGCCTCTCCACCCCAAGTCGAACGGGCAAGGAGAAAGCGCCGTAAAGGTGATCAAAACGGGGCTTCAGAAGCGGACTGATGGATCGCTGCAAACGCGTCTGAGCCGCGTTCTGTTCCATTACCGGACGACACCCCATTCAGCAACGGGAGTGACGCCCGCGGAGCTGCTCCATGGGCGCCCGCTGGTCACTCACCTGGCGCGGCTGCAGCCGGACCGCGCCCTGCTCGACCGTGTCCGAGCCAATCAGGAACGCCAAACGCTGGCCAACAACCGCCATTCGGTTGCAGTGCGACAGTTTGCGCCCGGTGATCTGGTTTATGTGTCAGCAGTGGATCAGAGGCCCTGGCAACCGGCCGTGGTGGCATCTGTCTCCGGCAGTCAGTGTGATGTGAGGCTGCCGGATGGCCGTGTGTTCAGACGGCATCTGGATCACCTGCGAGCTCGGTCGGCCGAAGGCTCGCCGGTGGAAAGGGAGGTGTTGCCGGTTCCGGATTGTTCTACGTCACTGTCTGAGAGCGTCGCTGGTCGAGCGAGTGCTGATCGTGAGGGTGGCGGTGGTGTTGGATCCCCCAGCTCACCCTCAGTGAGTGTGAGACGCTCACACCGCGAGCGAAGGGTGCCGCTTCGGCTGCTCGAGACGTAAACTGCACGGCACTAGTGGTATAGTGCTAATGCAGGTCTTTCCCCTGTGTGATGTCAATCGTTTTTTTTTTTGCAACAGCCACCGGTTTTAGTTCAGGAATGTCTAGTCCTTTGTTGCTTACTGATTTGGACTGCCTTTATCTTACGGTGGAGGAGTGATATGTATAACTGTGCGGGGTCGTCTACGCAGCGCTGGGGGGCGCCGGGCGGGTGTGAGCGTGGTGAGTCGGGGAATAGAGCTCGGAACTGAAAGGTGTGTTTTGTCGGCTGTGAGGCCGGCCGGGCTGGTGGTGATCTACGGACAGATCACCATTACGTCACAGGTATATGGAATGTGAGCTTCTGTGGCAGGTCTCGATCAAGCTACATTGAACTTTGGGTAGATTAGCAACCCATAAGCCAACCATTTCCAATCAGTCTTGCACGGTGGTGAACTGAGTGCGTCATCGATCAGATTATTACCTAATTAAGAAGATTGCATGCACCGTCTGTAAAGGGCTGATTACTCGCACAAAGTAATTCCGGTTAACCCCTTCCTCTGGCCGGGTTTATCGAAACTGATCAAAAAATGTGACTTACAACACTGGGTTAGCGGTCAGTGTGTAGTGTAAAATGTCAGTTCAAATGTCAGCTTCCTCTCTCGTAAATCGATCCTACGTGACAGCTTCCTGCTTCCTACGCCTACCGGTTCCCGGTGTTAACCGTCAGTTTTCGCATGTATATTGTGAACGGTCTCAATGCGCTTACGTGTGATCTTTATCAGATTGTGGGACATCATTCGTGTCCCTCTGTCGTCACCTCTGTGTCTCTGACGTCATACCCGTGTATCTGACGTCACACTCGTATTCACAGACCGTCCGTAACCAGGGGTTATCTATCCATGGAGCGGGTCGGCGGCGAGATGGCCAGACAGGTAGCGCCTCCGGCGGGGTTTTCTCGCACGTACTGATGACCTCACTGACACCGTGTGCTGCCGAGTGTGTGTGGGGTGCAGCATGTGGGAGTGAGTTCCCTCAGGACAGCGCCAGCACTCGCCGCACCGCTTTCTCTACTTCACAGGGACGAGAGGCGAGAGTTTACATAGTGGGACTCGCGCAGCTTTGGTGTATGGCTGAATATGTGCGGTTTTTAGCGTTGTGTAACGGACGGAAGGAAGGCTGGGTCACTCGTGGTAGGCTGATTTTGCATTTAAATTTGGTTTATATAAATCGCGAGTTAGTAGTTACCACATGCCGCCCACCAGGAACTATTTTTATTATTGCACGGTTGCAGGATGCAGGTTGGGCTTTTTGGCTGATTTTGACCGTGTGATACTTTGCTTTGCTAACTATTGTAACACTGGGTTTGTCACAGTGGTGACTTGTAAAGCGTCATTCGCCAGTGCTTTTGTTTGTGTGCTGTTAGGTCTTTTTTTTTTAGATAATATTTTCCCGGTTGTGAAGCTAGGTCAAGAATTTCCTCACGTCAGCTAACTCCATATAGTGCAGGCTTCAGATAAAACACTCGATGATAAAGCAGATGATTTCCTCTTTCTTATCCATGTGGGAGTCCCAACTGACTGCTTCTGATAATCTTATTCTGATAATTGATTGGCCGGTGCTTCATCGCTGATTGACTGAACAGAGGCCGGCTTCTCTATACAGTGTCTCTATCTGGGTCTGGTCGTGAGTGTGCGACTGATTGCTTTGCCATACCTTTTCTTATTGTAATTCTATGCTCTTCAGACCTGGGCCAGATAATGTTACGTCGTTAATTTAGTTCCTTGTTTTGTTTTTGCTAGATACTTTGATGCATCATAGTCACCAATTGGGTAACTGGTTTGGTCCAGCCTTGAAACATCCTTGAAGTTGCATGCTGAAAAAGAACTCGATTATCCAGTTTTTTTTTTCTTCGCCTGAATGTGTTATGACGAGCTGTACATAGTTCAATCTATTGTGTAGCTTGGAGATGGGCCGCTGGCTAATTTCCAGCAGTTACCAGGCCCTGTTCGGTCACCAGTCAATTATCGCCTTCAGCCGTCTGACGAGTGATGCGTGGATCCCGTGTCCGTTGTGCACGGAAACCGTGCGTTCCGTGCGCTGTGACACGGGTGAACGCTGAGCCTACACGGGCATTAATAAATACCGAGCTGTCACGTCTACTGCCGAGTGGAAAAACGGGACGAGATGTGCGCTGTACGCTGTACGCTCAGTCACGTTCGGTTATCGTGCCCTGGCCTGTATTCGTTATTGCATCACAGGGCTCAGTCGTATTCTGTGAGCGAGTGTGGGTTTGGGAGTCTCCTCTCTCCTCCCTTGGCTCTGCCCTCTCTCCCTCTTTTTGTCCGAACCACTGTCGCAAAGACGGTCATTGAGGTCTCCGGGCCGGCGCACCGCCGGCGCCCACTATACTGTGCTTTGGCTGGCAGTGAACATATAGAATAGGAGCATGGCACCAGCACTGAGAGACATAAGATGCGTCCTAAGGCATTGGGCTTCTCGAACGTATCTATAAGCTACTACGGATCAATATATCTGTACCAATGATTGTGAGACTGACGAGTCCATCTGACCCGATCACTGATAGTCTCCTGCTACATCAGTTCAGCGTCAGCATTAATCATGTCCAAATATGTTACACAATCGCACCTCGCTGGATTTGCGGCTACATCAAACACAGCACGCGTTATATCAAAGGAGCACTCACAGTCTCACTTAGGGGCGCACCGGTCACGTCCAAATAATGAACGTAATGAATAATGATAGCGGTCAGCTAGGATATGTCAATTGTTAAGCTCATTCGGAGCGCTATCTCTGGTTGTTGAATGCAATGACTCTGTCGCCACCCAAGCCTGGCGAGACTGGTATCTCAGCTAAACAAACCAATATAACAGCCCAACGGGACCAGAATCCAGTCTGGGCGGCGTTATATCTGAGCTGAAATCCACTGGTATCTCAGCTCAGATAAAATAGACGTCCATCTATGCTGTTTAACCAGCGTCCCAGCTGATCGGGTCCTTCTGGCCAGCCGCCCACCTCCAACCGGGCATGGTACACCGTAGAGGTGACATGACTGCGGTCACGGCCATTGGGCGGCGTCACGGGCGTGACCGGACAGTGTGACGGGCGTGACGGACCGTCACATTGTTCCGGGACCTCAGTGCAAACACAATGGTCCGCGTACCCCGTCGTTACGCGCCTGTGGTCACCCGGTATGTGCTGCAGAGTGGACGCGCCAGGGGTTGGCCTGGGGTCCGTGCTTGGACCGGCGATATATGTATTTATGTAATTCAAATGGGAAGCTTTCCGTCATAGCGAAGAGTGCAATCGAATTTCACATTGTGGGGCTTGGAAAGATGAAAAATTACTGCACGCAAAAGCGGAGCATTGTGGGAATATGTAAGTAGGCTCCAGCGACAACCGACACAGGCGAGAATCCAGATCCGCTTGTGTGGGTGTAATCCTACCGTTTGGTGCAGTCGCGATACGGTCGGTCCAGGCGGGTCCGAGTGCTGGACTGGGGGGGGGGGGGGCACGACTGGGGGCCGCCTCTCGTCGTCGGCTGCGGACGGACCTCGTCGGCAGTCGGTCGGCTGAGCCCGGGGCGGCCGGTGGGTGCGGTCAGACCGGTGTGCGTGCCGCGAGAGGTGCTCTGTAGTGCCGGCGATTCACCAGGCCGTCGAATCTCGAAGCTGGACGCATTCCGTGTTGGTGTCGAATTTTTTACCCGTCCAGCAGTGCCTTGTGCTCGTGTGGCGCCTACTACAGCCCCTTCAGCAGGGGCAGACTGCTGAGCCGTATAGCGACAGGTGAAGATTGTGAAGGCTGGATCCAGTGAGGACTGATGCTGACCGTTCGTTAGTCGGTCAAATACTGACTGCTGATCGCTGGCCGCTGACCGATTACGGCTGACCTCTGCCTGCTGAGCGCTGCCCGGCGATCGCTGACGCTGACTATCTACCAGCGCCCTCCATCTGTGCTCTGTGTCTATATCTCACGGCGCTCCGTCGATCGCTGACCATCTACTAGTTCCTATATCGGTGTCTTGTGTCAATATCTCACTACCTCCCCGTCGACTCCGACAGAGCGCGGCCCGGCGGCCGACCGTCGGCAGCCATGGGCTGTCCGCGCTCTCGGCGTCAGCTGGCCTTCTGCTTGGCCATGCTGCTGCTGCCCTTCTCGCTGATCGTGCTGCTCAACCAGCCAGGTGAGTGCCGTACCGCGTCTAACGAGCAAGGCAGAAACGTGTGTGGGTGTAACGCTGTTCGTTCATCTAATAATGGCACCTCAGATGTGTTCAGTGTTGCAGCGTGTACTATCCATGTGGAAGTTCCATGCTTAACAACGCAGCGCCAGTACAGCGGCAGAACAAAGGCAGTAGATCGTCATGGTTAGAGCTGCAATCCTAACTCCTCTTGCATCAAGTTCCTTGCACCCCAAGGCTGCTTTGGCGTGTTTAGCCAAATGATCTACATTTTTATGCTCGGTATGCATTGTTGCGAGTGATTCCGATGGCAGTGCAATGGAAAATTTGGGCTGTGCATTACTTTAGTATCTATGTGAGACACAATTATTGTTATTTTTTACCCTTGCTGATGTGACAAGTTAATTGCGTAGGTTTACAGACAGCTGGATGACAGGCATTTTTCAAGTTCAAGTTCAAGTTCATTTATACACGTTAAATTCACATAAATGCGACTTTTCATTAACGCAATGTCAAGTGATTAAAAAAGGGCACGATGTCACAGTCACACCACATGTTCATTATCACAGTGAATCGGCATACGGTCAACGTCTTCACGTCTGAGTTTGGAGCAAGTGAACTTTTACAGCTCTCTTAACCCTCGCATGTGTAGGGGGGGGGGGTCGGATGGACCCCCCCCATGGTTTTTCGCGAATAACTCGCGTAAAAAGCGGCCGATCGCGACGAAACTTTCAGTACCCTCTCATTGATCAATTTTACACCTACCCTGAAAATTTCATGACCCTGACCCAAATGACCTTTGACCTGTGACCTCTTTTCCGAGACCATGTTTGGCCGGAATCGCGATTTCGCGTATGTCGGCTCGCACTAGCCGCGTGTTTGCAAGCTTTTCGTGGTTTCAAACGTTCAAACATGTGATTTGATGTTACTCCCGTGTGTGTCAAGGTCACCTGAAGGTCAGGTCAGGTCATTGACCTTTGGTGACCTCGGGTGACCTCGGGTCACTTTTTCGAGTTTTACATGTTTCTAGGCTAGTTTTTGGAGCTGAATTCGAATTTAGCAACCATTTGAACATTTACGAAGTAGTTTTGGTGACTTCGTAACATGTTACGAAGCTGTCAGAGGCGGTTGACACGTACTACGAATACCCGTCACGACGCCTACTGGTTGACCTGACCTGACCTGACCCGACCTGGTCTAAATGCTTCAAGACATCATCTGTGATCAAAACTAACACGATATTCGTGATCAGCACCCCGAAAAACCCCTAAGCGGCCACACTTTACGACTTTCTAACAGGTTCCGATTTTCCCGACTTTGGGTCATTGACCTGACCTGGAAGGTCAACCAATGACCTAGGACCTTAAAATTGGGTATCATCGGCTTCCTCTCGTCACGGGCAACACGCTCGTTTTTTCCGCGAAGCTCTATCTCGATCAGGGGCCAAACGGCAAGGGGGGGGTCCAACCGACCCCCCCCCCCCCCCTACACATTAGAAGCTGGCAAACGCCGCACACATGCGAGGGTTAAATGTCATTCGCCCGTCATAAACTGCAGTGAACGCGTTGTATGCGTCCACACCACTATACAGCAGCTGCCTTCGCCCCGTCTCAGTATGTATCCACGGTAATCGCAGTCTCTGTGCGTTGCGGGTGTCATGTCCGTGGTCTGTCGCGTTTTCAAGCTTGCACGCGATAGCAGAAGGCTGACCCGTCTGAACGATGATTCGCACGTTGCATATTCTGTGGTACAGGACTAAGTTTGTAGCGCTGAGCCACTTCAGCTCATCCAAGACATCGCTCACATGGCAATACTTCCGCCGGCCACTTAAACGCGTGCACAAAAATTCAACACTTTTTGTACCCGGTGAAGCTCAGTGGTGCTGCATGTCCCGTAAATAGATATGCAGTAGCGCAGTGCAGACAATACGAGAGAGGACACGATCGGTATCAGCGTGGACGGCGGTAACACGTTCTTCGTGTTGTTGCGCCAATAGCGATCCCGTGCCCTTTGACACGACTGGACACGACATAGCTGACAATTGACATGGCCATGATACGTCAGATGTCTGTCAATAACGAGGCCGATATTTTTGACAGATTCGGGCTCGTGAACAGTTGCATTGGCGAAGCGAATGCTACCAGAAGGCAGTCCTTTCAGCATCTGACGTGTTCCGAGTACAATCCACGTTACAATCCACGAGTTTTTGACGCGTTCACTTTCATGTTGTTTGAGCAAAACCTTGCAAACATTCTCGTCTAGAGTCCGCTCCATTCTCAGGATTAAGCCAGCTAAGTCAGCCTTTTTACCAGATACTAAGATCTGAGTGTCATCGGCAAACTGTACGATCGGGACATCAGGGACGTGGAGACACAGATTGTTTGCGAATATGGAGAACAGCAGACAGCTGAGAGATCCCCTTGGAAAGCTTCGGATTCTATTGACAAAGACTTTGAAAGAATGACAGACCTGTCAGCTTAGCGCAATGAGCTCTAATCTGCGGAGAATTACCTTGGAGATAGTGCCTGAACCATACCGTGTCTTTTTCATGATTAATCAAATCGAAGCATCTTATTTCTGAGCTAAGTGTATAATTTTACGCTTTAGGAACAGAGTCGCTGTGCGCCCATCTCGCCACCATCTTGGAGAGTTGGACCCACTTTGGTTGACCTGTAGCACACAGCTGCCGGTGTGGGTCGGGTCAGATCAAGTAACAGGTGTGTATCGGATGTCGCGTCTGACCGGTCCTGCCCGCCTCCCGACCGGACCCGGCGTGGGGGATCCGGTGTGGGGAGCTGCTGGGTCCAACGTAGTAGTGGGTTTGGCTTGTTGTTTGGTGTGCGGCTCGACGAGTGTGGGAGGAGGTTAGCATGTGGGCGGATTTTTTTTGGAGCTTATCGCTTGAGCCTGTATGCCCACTGAACAATAGACGCTAAGATTTGAGGCCTGCACACTGCACCTGGCGTTCTATCTCCAGCGGCCTGTTATTCCTCATCGAAGACCACAAGCGCACGGATCAGTTAGAGCTAGCAGTCCCAACCGGGCTTTGGACACCTGTAACCACAGGCAGCGACTGTATCACGAAACGAAACAAGGCTGCTGGGCTCCAAAGAACGAGCATTTGGGGACAAAGTCGGTATGAGCCGATCGTACGGCCACCAGTGCGGATCTTTTTGGTATACTGAACCCCAGCAGATGGTCGTTCCGCTCGCTGGGATCTGTCTTGCCTTCTGGAGTCAACAATCACCAGATATTGGCCTTGTGCGAGGATCTGCTTTGTTGTAACACAATCCAATGCCGACCAGCTACGGGCCTGGCTTATCGCTCTGCACCCGCTCTAGATAAACAGATGGGCATCGTTAAGAACAAAAACACAGAGCAAAGTAGTGTCTGCGGTTGCTCATTTCTGACATTGAAGAAGAATGCGGGTGTGACAGTGGCTTTGCTCTGTGCCGTAGACCATTTTCTTAGAAGGGAGGGGTGGGAGGGGGGGAGAAGGGAGGCTCGCGCAGCCGCTCTTTTCTATCATTATCTGGCTCGGTGTCCCTACCTACGAAGGCCTCACGTCAAAACGATACTGGTTCACACATTATGAGCCCTGCTGGGATCAACAGGGTCCAGTTGACGGCTGAAGGGAATGCGGCCCGTCTGAATGCCAATGACCTCACATTGTGGTCAATCATTCGTTACCTAGATAAACAATTGATTTATATATTTGCTGGTTAATGGCAGTGGCTATGTTTGTGCTCTTTTCGTCCACATTTGTATAAGCTTATTATCCCCTCTTTTCCATCACCTAGCTGCATGTAAATTCTGAAGAGTGAGACGAATACGAGCACGATACGTAGTTCGCCCGAAATAGAACGTGATTATGCTAATACTACTGCGACATTCACAGAATGAATGCCATTGACGTAAAAAGCGTCAATGTATTGTTTTGTCCTCCGTTCCGTCACTCAATGAAGCTTTCTTTAAAAAGAATGAGCATTGAGCCGCCTTTGGAAAGCCCTAAATCAGTTGTTTGAAGTAATTGTACGTTACTGCTGAATGATTGGCAGGGATGCTGAATCAGCACGATGAGTGTTCAGTGCCGCCTAACGTTGCGTTTTCCCTTGCCTAGTGATGTAAACATCAACCCCATGGGCCAGGCCTGTGACCATTCGTGACCTCTTGATGCTGACGTTTACCCCTACATGCTGATCAGGGATGGGAGGCCGGGTGGTGTGGAGACGACATGGCCATCACGTTCATCTGCTGGTGAATGCCGGCCTCGTAACGCTAAATCACCAAAGTTACAAGTAAATTGGCTCTGCTTCTGGAAATGCGTCTGACTGAGCGACTGTACTGGGCTGTAGCTGTACTGGGCTGTAATTGGGTAATCTGGGTGACCGGGGAAGACTGTGACTGAGTGACCCGACCTAACTCTGATTGGTTGACTAGACCCTGTGGTGATTTGATGGCCTCGCCTGTACTAACCGGGTGACCTGGCTCAGCGGTGGCTGGGTGACAAGTCCTGTAGTAACTGGGTGACCCGGCCTAACTCTGGCTGAATGACCCGTCATTCCTCTGATTGGGTGGCCCGACCCTGCGGTGGTTCGATGACCCGACCTATCGGTGACTGGGTGAACCGGGCCCACAGCCACAAGGACACACAGCTGAATGGGGGCAGGATCCGGCGCCCGGCGGGCCGGGCCAAAATAGACACTTGTCGCCGTAATGGCCGGCCCAGCGGACTTAGCCGCTTCATAAGTGGCGTCGGATCGCTGAGCCCTTACAGGCAGCCGCTGGCCGTTTGCCAAGCTAGGAATAGCCGGCTGGGGGGTATTATCCGCATACGTATGATGCTCAAAGTAGGCGATATTTTAAACTTGGAACTGTGTTTCATGGCTGGCGGCGACACGGGCTGTAGTTAAAATGGTCCGTCTTAAAGTTACCATCTCTGCCAGATTTCACTCTAGCGGGAAGCCAACAGCTGGCTGAAATAGAATGTGCACCATCTAATTAACAAATCGCGTTATTTGTGAATCTAATGAAGATGGAAGGCGAAGAAGTGCCTACTTGAATTAATTGGAGCAAGGAATTCATCAGCACGCAATTTGTAGAATTATGTTCCGTGCTGCGATTTTTTGCTTGGATTCTCCAAATATTACTTTTTCGACGAAAAAATCATATTTCACGATGTTTTGTTAATAAATTCACCTATCCCTCTTCCATCATAGCATTTTATGCTAACCCATCCAACACCTTGCCTGTTCCTTCAGATCCTTCGGACTGTACCGGCAGGGGTCTTCCGTCAGGGAGTGATAAAACAGGTGCGTTTTATCTTCTTCGCAAACGTAGTTTTGATGTGCAGTTGGACATTGTTCTACCTTCATCGACATTAGACACGCCTCTATGTTTATGAAAGTGAAAATAATTAAGACCCTAAATAAATGCGAGTTTAAGTCCTGACCTGATCTGCTTGCTCTCTTTGCGCCCTTCGGCCTGCGCCCTGACCTGCGCGCTGTGACCCGCGCCCTGACCTGTACCCTGCTCCCCGCGCCCTGACCTGCTCTCTTCACCCCGCTCCCCGCGCCCCGTACCCTGACTTGCTCTCTCTGCTCCCCGCTTCTCTGCGTGTTGACCTGGTCACTGCACCACCACCCTGACCTGCTGTTCTGTGACCTCTGGCCGCAGTGGACACCCGGCTGGAACGGACGCTGGTTCAGCAGCTGGCGGAGCTGCGCCAGCGCGTGCAGCACGCCGAAATGACCAACAGGGAGCGGCGGAAAGACGTGATGGTGCTCAACAGACAGCTGGACACCTACGGCGCCGCCGGTGAGTGAGAGCAGGGAGACGGGTGGGGATCGGGGCATAGCTGGGGTACGGGGACGAGGGCGGGGACAGTGAAGCGCCGTTCGGTGTCTTTTTATCAGCACGCTGTCGGTTTTCTCAATATGGTAGTTCGTTGCTGGCGTTTCTTGGGCTCTCATTGATGAATTATGAAACGCAAAGACTGCGTGATTTCGACTTATGAGGAGCCGAAAAACTAATAGTGGTTCGCCACTTACCACCACCACTTATACTAACACCATTTCTATTTTCTATCAGCAAGCTAGTAGCCTGCTTTATTAAAAAGACGGCGATCGAACAGCGTCCGGGAATGGGATAAGGATGGAGACAGAAACGAGGATAAGCCTAAGATCGGGGTGATCGGTGATTATGACGGTGACGGTGAGTCGTGGAGGACTGGAGGAGGACTCGCCTATGACCGGTGAATGTAGGGGCAGCTCTCTACCCCGAGGGGGGATAGAGGGTTACGGAGACGATCCATTGATAATGGATTGACCCAGCTAGGAACGAATCTGAGATGGGGAGTGACGGCGACAGTGATTGAGACGGAGAGGCGAGTGTCGGGACTGACGGAGACGGAGACGGAGACGGAGACGGAGACGGAGACGGAGACGGAGATGAGAGGGGAGGGGACGAAGATGGGTGGGGACGGAGGTGGCTGAATGGTCGGTCCGACTCGGTGGTGACTGGTGAGGTAAATGAAACATAGGAGAGGTTGTGCTGCCTCTAAGGCCTGTGGCGAAATTTGAAAATGAAAATAATTGTGCAGGTACGGGCGACCTGTAACTTCATCCCAGCTCGGTACTCCAGGGGGGGGGGGGGGCGGACTACGCCACGCACTAAGCTAATTCCGAGCCAACCGGCTGTTGCATAACCATTGAAAGTGTCTGGCAGGCATATGAATGCACCACACATGTGCGTACTTTTATTCAAAGTGCAGGAACCATTAGATTGGTCTATTGTTATTAGTGGCTGACTCAGCGTCTCTGTTTCCGGCCATCTGATTGTGTTGGCAAGCCACATGCATTGTGCGTGTGGCAATAAGTGGCATGCTTTTGGCAGGTCTTTATTCACTAATGATTTAAATTAGTTCAATATTTCGCAAGTTGAACTGTTATTTGGTAAAGCTCGGGTCACTATTTAAATATTTGGCATGGGTAAATGAATAAGCCTTGCAATAAATATTCCGCTTTTTAGTTGTATTTTGCATTTGAAAATTTAAATATCTTTTCTTCATTTTGACTTGCTATTTTCCCAAATATTTTTGTTTTATGCTAGTTTTCTTTCCATTGTCGTAGTGGTAGCTGCCTACATTTTCGTCAAGCGCTAATGTGGAGCAAGCGCAATGGCTTTGATTCCGTTGTTTTGTGCCGTCTGTGTCGCAATATGTTATCGTCCTGCATTTTCTGTTTCTACCGTTGTTTTTCCTTGTGCAGGAAAAAGCCACCATGCTCAATTAACTTAATCTGCCCTGTGTTTGCCATCATGTATCCAGTGTTTACCATCACCAAAGTGGTCGGTATTTGTAGGACAGGTGTGTCGTTGGGCGCTCGATACCCTGGGGATCGGCCCGCTGTGGGTCGGGGGGGGGGGGTCGTACGACGTGCGTGTGGAGGTATCCGGGTGTTGGGGGCGTGGTCCCCCTGTTGACCTTCAACCGCTGACTCGTTAGTTATTGGTGCTGATGGTGGTGATTGTAGGGGGGGGGCGTGAGAGCCGAGGGAGGGCGGGGCTGACGCCAGTGACCCGGGATCGACCAGGCTCCAGTCGACACGTCCCATGCGCTACTACCCAACCCGCCCTACAAATCCTGGCTTAGTACGAGCGCCTCTGACACGCCGTGGGTAGTGCACCACGAGTGCCTCCGACGCGGCGCAAACGGCGCGCCATGGTCGTCTCCGGCGCGCCGGAAATGGAGCTGGCCTGTACTAGCGCCGCTGGGGCTCGGCTGAGCCGCGCTCGATCGAGTGAGAGGAATAAAGCTGCCGCCCAGCCGAGCTCAGCTCCGAAATAAAACGGCGACGGGAGCGGGACGGCGCGGCTGTAACTTCAGCCGTGGCGCGTCAGCGCCCCCTCCCGTCCCACGTCCAAATGTAATTGCTTTTTATAGTTATTAACGAATTAAACCTCAGATCCTATCGAAGGGATACTCCTTAACGAAATTAAATGTTATTGGTGCCACACAATTACGGAAAAAGTGATACTCGTGTGGGCCATGGCACTGAGCTGTGCTATGTTATTGTCAACCATTGATCGATATGTCGGTACTATGTTGCACGGTGCTCGTCGTGATGTATTGAGGAATTGGAGTAGGTGTCAATCATAGTTGATTGCTACATTTCGGTAGGTGTCAATTGATGTATTGATGCATTGGAGTAGGTGCCAATCATAAGTAATTGCTACATTTCGGTAGTTGTCGTGCGTGTTTTATTGATGGCTTCAAACATGCGATTTTCATTTCCTTATGCTTATGCTGCTAGTCTTGGGGAGGATGGTGATAGTAAATTATGTGCTTATTTTATCATTTACTTAATGGGGAGGGTTTAATGTTAAATTGAGCACTGCTATTTATGGTAGCAACAACTTGTGATCAGTGTTTCAAAGAATGTTATCCGCGCGTTCTCCATCTCTGTTCCCATAAATGAATGTTTGAAATGGTCACTCTGAAGAAGCCACAAGAATGAAATGTCAGTCTCTTTTATATAAATTCTGTTTTCCTTCATTTTTCTAAGAATTTTGAGCAAAGTATTTCATCGATCTCACTATAGTTTTATAATTATCAATGAATTAAACCTGAGATCCCATCGAAGGGACGCTCTTTACTAAATGAATTGTTATTGGTACCACACAGTTACGGAAAAAGCGATACTACGTGTGGGCCATCACCTACCTACTGTGTGTCATCACCTACCTACTGTGTGTGTTGACACAATTATGAGCTACTTATCTGTCGTACCTGTCTGTCCCTTTTCCCAATGCCTTTCGACGAGTAGCTACGGACGACACGTATTGATTCTTCTCATAATCGTGGGATGGACTGTGGGTCCGTGTATATTGGCTGAATACAGATCGACTGAATACAAACGAATTGGGCGGGCGGGGCACTGCCACTGTATTGTAGTAATGCGAGGGGCGAGCCTGTTGTTGGCGTGTCGTCGTCATACATGCCGTGAGGCTATTGGCGCAATGGCGCGCATAGCTGGGTAGGTGTATGAATATGTCAGGGCTCACATTGTTTGGCGTTGGTAAAGTCGGGCATTTTTAATTTGTTTCCATTGGAGGTGTTATTTTAGTTTCTTTGATTCTGCATTATTTCGGTAAAAGTGAACCTTTGCGTGTAGCCTGACGGATTAGTTTGCCTACTGTGGCTGGTGCAGTAGGGTTGACATTGATCAGCGCTATGACGCTAGCCCATCTTACGTTGTTTGCTAGTGCGAGTGGCCCTTGCTCGTGTGTTCCTCCCTCATTCATCCCGATGCGTCAGCCCGCCGTCATACGCAATCATATCCGCTGTCGCTGTGCCAACATTGCCAATCTCCTCCCTCAGCTGTGAAAGCGCCGTCCCAGCAGCAGCAGCGGCAGCAGGAGGAGGGACCTCCAGTGCTACCTCCGTCGCAGCAGCAGCTGGCGCAGCTCGCGCCGCCACATGAGCTGAACGACACGACGACCCCGCGAGGTCGGACGGTGCCCGGAGCGCTGCCAGCAGCTGTTTCCGGGGTGCCGCTCACTCATCTGCAGGAGATCAACAGCGATATGGAGGTAGGCAAGCTTGATGTGACACGGGAAGTGCACGATTATAGGACGCGGTGCGGCACTTCTGGGACTTGTCTTAAAATTTAAGCGACTTCCTGTAACATCAATAATTCAAGCTGGCATTCACAGTACCTACTTGTTATGGCCGTGACACCGTCAGCATTTTCCGAAACTTCCAGCAGGCACGTACAGCCCACCGCTAAAGTAATGTAGGGTTTTACCAATCTCAACGATTGGCTTTGACTGGCGATTGTTTAATGCGGAGTGATCGAAAAGAAGATGTCAATAGCTAAAGTTGCAGCTGCAAGGGTGACGATACATATAAGCTACATTCAAAGTTTCATTGTAGTCTGGCTAATCGTTCCTAAGCTTCAGAAGCAGAACATACCCATGACTGAAACCCCACATTACTTCTGCTGTGGACTGTACCTAGGATTTGGCCAAGGGGGGGGGGGGGTGGTGGAGGGAACGGAGGAATCCCGGGGGCCTCCCCTCTACAGAGGGCCTCCTTTCTATTGAGAGCCTCTTCTCTAAAGGGGCATCCTCACTACAGAGGACTTCCTACCTACAGAGGGCCTCCTCTCTACTGAGGAGTTAGATGGACCCTAGCGGTCAGACACAGACACTAGCGGCTATTTACAGGAGGCCCAGAAGGACCCTAGTTGTCATGCTGGTCAGAGGGCTCTGATTGTCCTGACGCGATTTTTGGGATTTCCGTGAATTTCGTTCGCCTCGGACGTGATTTTGGCCAACGTAGGCCTTCGGCCCGCGGGGGCCCTGATTCCATCCGGAAGCCCTGAAAACCCCAAGGGGGGAGGCGAGGCGCCCCGTCCGCCGTCTCCCGCCCTGGGTACGTCCCTGACTCCCAGTATTGATGAAATATCGCAGGATGGGGATTTTCAATGTTGAGATAGAAGTGGAAAGTACATGTATGTATTTTGTGGAAAGTGGAAGTTTAAGTGCGAAGTGTATGTATTTTTATTGGATCTCGCTCTTTATCCAAATTGATAGATTGTGTTATACTGCTGCCCGCTCCATATTTCTCCTGACAACTATCCTGTCGGCTCTCACCCAGCCTCTAACCGCTCACCTCTGACCCCACCAGGTGCCCGGTCTTCTCACCTACCTACCGCACCTGCTGGGCCGGCCCGACGCGCTGACACCGGCGCTACACGTCAGTCAGGGTCGGCGGGACGTGACTGTGGTCATGGGACTGCCCACAGTCAAACGTGAGGTGCAAAACTACCTCATATCGACACTGAAAAACCTCATCGACTCTATGTCTGAGTCGGAGAGGCTGGAGACGCTCATTGTTGTCTTCATTGCCGAGAGTGAGTGAGTGAGTGAGTGAGTGAGTGAGTGAGTGAGTGAGTGAGTGAGTGAGTGAGTGAGTGAGTGGTGAGTGAGTGAGTGAGTGAGTGAGTGAGTGAGTGAGGAGTGAGTGAGTGAGTGAGTGAGTGAGTGAGTGAGTGAGTGAGTGAGTGAGTGAGTGAGTGAGTGAGTGAGTGAGTGAGTGAGTGAGTGAGTGAGTGAATCAGTCGAAATTTTTCTGAAAGTTTTAGTAGGCTTTGCAATGTGCTGAAGTCAATACCATATTTTTTTTTTTACCTCGTTTATTTCCCAGGCGTGATGCACTGCTCACCTAAAAGCCTTTTTTGCGGCACTTTGTTAAATTGATTGATGTTTGGTTCTCGTGCCGTTTTCTGTCCCCAGTGACCAAGTAGTTCCACAGCATTGCTGTCAGAATGCGACAACATACGTCATTTGCGTTGTACATTTGCGTGACAAACGTCGGCCTTTTGCCTGTAAATAACCATAAAGCTACATTGCTGAGCACGCAACCTCAAGGCTAAAGGCTCCCTGTCATGCGCCGCACCCGGGCCCGCTGCCCTTCTGTTGGTCTGTTTCTATGACGCTTGGATTAAAGTCCTGTAATTTTAGTGTGAGATGTGTGTTGGCGCGTTGTCATGGTTTCCTGCGTGTTGAACACAAGCTGGGTGGGGGACTGATAAACTATGAATTTCCAATCTGAAGCGTCCTGTATCGCCGGCTCGTAATGCCGCTATCTTGTTTCAGAAATTCGTAATAAGTCTGGCTAGAATGAGCCGTTCTGCAGTCGCTTCCTGACAACCATTGTTTCTTTTTCTTTGATTGTGATGTTTTTAGCATTGGTGTCCATAGCTACGCCATAGCTGAACCTTGGGTCGTGACTATATTTTTTCAGCGACGTTCCGAGTGTCGCCGTTGCTATTCTATCGCGTTGTGAAGCGTTTCCCGTCTGTCCGTCCCCTCCACTCCACTGCTTGCATCTAATCTGTTTTCGTTCCCTCAGACGGATGCGGAGTACTGCAGCCGGACGGCACAGGAAATCCAGGACAAGTGAGTGATCACGATAGGCCAACTCTCGGCGTTACACTCAGGGTTCTGTGGCTGTTTGGGAGTGATGAGGTCGGACGTGACTGCTGCGTCGGGCCGGTAGGGAGGCGGGCGTGTTTGGGATACGGTGGTTTACCGCTTGTTTGATTGGCGGGCCTCGCGTGCAGTGCCGTCACACCACCTGGGAAGTTTGTTGTATCGACCCGTGCTGGCCGTAGGCCGGATGCGGCATCACCTGTGCCAAACAGCCGGGCTCGACGCCATCCGATTTCTCGGAGCTCGTCCCTCATCCTTGTTCCGGCTGCTGAAAACCCTCCTCTGTTTTGGTACGTCGCTAGTGCCGCAATACCCCTCACTTCGGTATTATTCCTACATTACCATTACGACAGTCTACCCCACCAGCGTCTGACGTGGGCACTGGATAGAACAGCGCCCCGATTGTTCTATGAATGGCCCTGCTCGACCCGTTCCATCAGCCGCCACTACGCTGAGGGACGGCACTGCTGTGTCAATGAGCACCTGCACGAAGCTGTTAGCACCTGCCGGCGATGGTAGTTCCCTCTGAATGAGTTCGCAGCTCTGGCACCTGGTTTTTGGTCGATGAAAGTCCGCAAAGCTTAAACACCTGCAAGAGGTTTAGCGCGGCAGTGAAGCGGCCGGCGTTTGCGGAATTGATGTGAACCAAACTGAAGCGGCGAGCAAGTCTTTTGATTGATGTGGGCGTGGGGGAACTTTACATTTTGGATAACGGGACAGGATGAATGGAACAGTTTCCGATGTTCGTGCATTGTCAAAAGGGTTGTCGAGGTGACTAGAGCAGTGCTTATAGTTCCTTGTTTTCGATACAACGGCGCTGATGAAGTCGTAGAGACGAAACCGGTACGCCATTCATGTAATTGTTTTTTGATAATTGTATCGTGAATTTCATAAGGTACTCTCAATACAATAGAGCAGTGCTAAATGTTTGCCTCGGTTGTATGCATGCAAGTTGAAACAATGGTGGTAGTGGTATTAATTTTACAACTCCCTCCTGCAGTTTGTCCGTCGCTGTCATGTGCTAGAATATGAACGATGGTATGATAAAACGGCGGTGTTTGTGTTTTAGTAACACGTAAAGAATCTGATTAATCTTGCTAGGAATGACGCTTGTCACGGTGTTATACGCTGGTTTACCTTTAGCCATGAAATTTGTAGCAATTACATCCGTTATGGCGGAAATCCTCATCAGTGTATGTGGGAAATTTAGTGATCGAGCAGTCCTTTGTACCGGACAGTTTTATGCTGATCCACTGCGATAACTAGTGCATTCATCGCTCCTATACCGTGAAAAGGCAACTTAGGGATTGAGTGTTGTGTATGACATCACCGTTAGAAAGTACCCTAACGTGCAGTCGGTCGCGCATTCAGTCACATGTGGGAGGCTATTGATCATGCAAGTCCGCTGCTAGCCTACTTCGTGCCACTCAGCATTTTTGCCCCACGAAAGTTTTGTATTCCCTATAGAACCCTATGGAAATGTTCCGTTTGCACACATGGTTGCCATGCAACAGATTGCGCGTGTGTTGCAACGTTTTGTCTATAGGCCTACTGGACCGTAGTCTTTGACCTTTTTTCTGCACTGCCGGTGTTTTCATTGAAGGCCGGTGCTTTGAACGTCCATGGTATGTTTTCATCGCTGGCGCTGGAACACTCGGCCACCGAGAAGGCGGTCGCTGAGCTGGTGTGTCGGTAATCGCTGCTGACCCGGCGCTACGTCCCGCCCCCTCCCTCCATCCCCCTCCCCCCGGTCGGCGGCCCGCTCGCAGTCCCCATCAGCACAGTACAGGGGCGGGCCGCCACAGCGGTAATAACACGGCTCCCACGGCATTTTTATGGACGGCGAGCCGCCGGCTGCCGGACGTCCTGCTCGTGAATTGGGCCCGTGAGCTGACGCCGATCGTGACCGGCGCTCGTGGTCGTGAGCTCGTGACCCGGGGTCAGGATTGGAGTGGCTTAGGGTCACGGGAGGTTGATGAGCAGACCT